ATACGTCTTAAATTAACATACAAACCCAAATGGGGATGAAACATGTGTTTACAAAATCGAACAGTTTTCCATTGATTTTATGATTTAAGGTGTCTAAAGTAGCGTTTACGAGAATTTGACTAAACCTTGTATTGTAGTTTATATAAAATTAGGAGACACACCTGTAGGAGATTATGGCTACTGACCTCTCCATAGCTCAAAATGAGTTTGCACCAAAAGCTAAGGGACCGCATACTTGGCGAACTTCTTCAGTAGACAAGTAACTGCTTCTTGATGTACTAAAATAAATGACAACTTAAGCTGATTTATGCATCAAATTTACATAAGACTTTTGTACTTTCTTGTGACTTGATTTTAAATTCTACCTATACAATTATGTATATTTGTAAAGTGCATTTGATATAAAACATATAGTTTACATGAGAAAGGGCCAAGTTTTTTTATATTTCTGTAACGCGTCATTGCATTGCTTTTATATCGTCCTATCGACCATAATGTTTTCGGTAGGTCTCGGCATTGTCTGGTCGTTTTTCGACTTATGAGTTTGAATATCCCTTTGGTATCTAGCTTCCGCCTCTCATGAGTTTGAATATCCCTTTGGTATCTTCCGCCTCTCATGAGTTTGAATATCCCTTTGGTTACATCCGCCTCTCATGAGTTTGAATATCCCTTTGGTATTTTCCGCCTCTCATGAGTTTGAATATCCCTTTTTTGTATTTTCCGCCTCTCATGAGTTTGAATATCCCTTTGGTATTTTCCGCCTCTCATGAGTTTGAATATCCCTTTGGTATCTTCCGCCTCTCATGAGTTTGAATATCCCTTTGGTATTTTCCGCCTCTCTTCTACCACGTTATGAATTTACTATGTTTGAATATTGCATTAAATCTATACAGTATGTCTAGTATGACATGACAATGATCCATGGAATAACTTTATTAAAAACTTCTGAAAATACTGTCATCAAAACAATGATGAAATCCAGTTTCCATATTGACTCCCATATTCTCAGTTCGAATTTAATTTTTACCAAAGAATTTGTTTTTAACTAACAATTATGTGACCTTTTAGAACTATATTGATGATGCAAAGTCGCCATCGTTCAATTGCCTTCAGGTAAAATGCTTCGATTCGTTCGTTCTGGGACAAATGTTTTTATTGAGAAAGATTTCAAAGCAAATCTGAAGAAATGATTCCATGTACCGATTCTGCAAGATTAATGAAATAAAAGAATATAGTTGCAAGCTAAACTGTATAAGGCGTAACGTGAGATGCTCTCTCTATCTTTACTCTAGCCTTAACTTATATTGCACATTGTACTAAATAAGAGAAATCCCGCCGTTTAGTCTGTCTTTTTTCAGCGACTGGCAAATATGATATCAAGCAGGATATTATTTACTTAATGTTATTTTGCACCTTCTATTTAATTTCTTGATCAAAAAGAATTGGGGGTTTTGCCTGACATTGCCTTTGTCATACATGTATCCTCACTTGTATCTGGTTGTCCTCCCCAATAAAAAAATAATGAATCTTTCTCAGAATCTTCATTTTGTACTTAATGTTAGTGAATTATTTCGGGTTTCCAATTAATCATTGACATGCAAACACGTGCAGACACTTTAAACGAGGAACTATTACTAGTACAATTGTGTTGTCATCTGTTCTAGGAACACACTCAGATCCCTTTGGTGCACCATGGACCTACCACGATTAAAGGAAGAATAACATAACTGATACGCTTAGACCTCAGGCGATTTTGTTTTTTCTGGGTTTTCCCCCATTTAAATGCTAACAAACGTGTTGGCCTCGACCTGATAAAGATTATTCCAGAAACCTGATATACTGTTTCGTACGGAAATCGGAACGTATTTGGGGTTTTTTTTCTGGTCACGTGCACCCTTCCATTTTTGTCTATTTTATTTAACAGGACCTAAAGAACACCTGCCGGATAGTCTGAAATGAGGACTACCTTGGCCATTGGACCGTGAAACAATTAAAAAGAGAAAACCAACGACTTGATCAATGCTAACTACAACCACTGAGTAACCGGCTTCTGACTTGTGACAGTGGTGTCTGAGCACAAAAAAGAACAATACGTAAATATTTATTGGAAAGCAGATGGGCACGAAGCACATCAAAAATCGTAACAAAAAGAAAAAACATTACCAATCTATTAGTACTCATCGTTCCTGAAGCTAATTCAAAGCCATTCCCGACTAATAAATAAACCATGATTCCCAGACTAAAATATCGATCAGTACACATCCAACGGATTTAATGTAAATACGTGAAAAAACAGTAGGGTAAAGTGTGACCCTTTAAAGTGCCAAAATATTAGTAATAACAGCCATTTTGTGACTCATGAGAGTTCATAACTGTATAAAAATACATATTATTTAGTTATATGTTTTAATTTAGTTCAAACAGATTATAATATTGCACATGCATGTTTGTATTATCCCACGAATTTAGTAAAGGTTCTTTTGAAGGTTCTAAAACGAACAAAGATGATCTTTCTATCAGTTGTAGATATTGTTGAATAAACGACATGTACAAGTTGTTGGCCCAAGTATCATAACAATGTATCTCTTTTAAATACACCGATTTGTCACAAAAATTTAAAGTAAGAATTATTGTTATTTTATATAAACGAACAAATAATGAGTTGACACATAACACACCTGTTCACGTCTTGTATACAATAAAATGTTACGAGGTATACAAGATTATAGTTCATTTTAACCAAGATAAGTATGAAATTTCACACTTTTTGACAAACCAACACTTCGGATTGTCATAATAAATAAATAAAACACGAAGCCTGAGATGGACACAGCTGAGTATGGACATTTTACATTTTTCTTTTGTCTAATAATAATCGTTTATATGCCAGAAAACTTTTGAACTTAGGCGTCAAAATAATTGTTTTACAAGATAATATAGGAGTTTGTCAGCATTTGGATAAAAAATGACCCCCAACACCTAAACCAACGTCTCATTTGTTAATTGGTAGTAAATGTGTCAGTCAACACTGACCTTTCATATATTATCTTCTTATTATACCAGAAGCTATTTACACGGGAAGTCGCCAATAAATTATAAATTTAAAGGAAAGTTATACGGTGTAAAGCTAAAGATAGTAGTGCACAAGGAACCTGGTGAATTATACTTTCATAATATACAAAGTTGAAAATCTTTAAAAAAAGAAAAAAAAGAGCTTTCATTGTATGACATGAGACGTGATGGATCTGTTGGATTGTCAGCGATGTTAAAAGTGTAACAAGCATTTCTATCAAAAGTTCTGAGTATCCATTTATCAAGTGAAAGCTTTAATATCTCGACGCATACGAACAAAACGGTTGTTATATGAATTGCAGGCACCAATATTACAGTAAAGGAATGTCAGTGGGTTATTTCCCTTTGAACTTGCTTTCTGTGACTACGAGCATTCTTTTTAATGTATAATACAGTTTATTGTTGATTTTGTTGTTTGTTTTTTTTTTCTTCTGTTTTTTTGTTGTTGTTGTTTATTTTACTTTTATTTTGAATTTGAGTGTTTTCCCTGTATATTTATTGTTATCGTGTGTTCTTTCAAGTACCATTTGTCTACTGGTTGGTGTTAAAAATAGAGTTTGAATTGTCAACTTTCACCTGCATGGCACATGTACCTGTCTCAAGTCGGTTATCTTACGTCATATCCAAATGTTTTTTTTTATTCTGATAACTGGATGTTGATGGCAGCTCTTTGTAAACTTAATATACTGTAAAGACAGCGGTCTTTTGTTGAAATTTGTAAGTTGTCCTCTAAATGTATTGTGGTGTTATTTGTGTCGTTGGGTAGCTGTTTCGTTGACACATACCAAAAATTTCTTTTATTCGTGCATCAAACCATAATTACAACACCATAAACAACATCACATAAAGTTATCTATCCTTTATTCAATTTGAGAAAATAGTTGTCTCAATACAAATCTCCAGAGTACCGTTAAACACTAAACCAACTCAAAATAATGATGATAAAAGGATAACATGAATTACCAAAATATAGTACATGTATACAACAGACCACACTTAACACCAACAGGTCAGCATATATTCAAATGGAATATCATTTTGTAAAAATTTATTGATTTTAATTACGAATCTACATTTACAATGACAGTACATTAAAACCGATTTCGATCTGAAACGGTCATTTTGATTTCATTTGAAAAGTTTGAACAAGACTTATCCATTGCGGTAAATTCAGTACTGTTCAGGCAATTCGCTTGCAGTCAATTCAGTACTGTTCATACAATTTGCTTGCAGTCAATTCAATACTGTTCAGTAGCTTTTCAAACAAGTTAGTTTGATGTTGATGTATACAGGTAAATAACTACTGAAGAATCTGAACATAGACTGAACAGCTTTTGATTGAACGAATTGTCTGAACAGTACTGAATTTACCGCAGTTTATAGATCTGAAAATTGACGGAATGACTGAAAATGAACTGAATAATATGTTTTTCGGTCTTTAAAGAACTGCATGTTCAGATCAAAATGACCGTTTCAGATCAAAATGGCCGTTTCAGATCAAAATGGCCGTTTTCAGATCGAAATTCGTTTACTATTGATACCACTAAGTATTTCACTGTTTAAACCAATGCACAAAAACAAAAACAAAAAAAACACCATAAAACAAGTACAAAAACGGACAATCTAAAACTCAAAGAAATATAAAATAACCATTATATATTACGGCAAGAGTCCTTTAAAAACATAAAACAATGCACTTTTGCAGATTGAAAAAAAATCTGTATATTTTTTATCGTTACACTTGCTCTTCCTTTTCTTTTAAAGATGGATGAAAATATATATGTCACAGACACTTTCTTATATGTGTACAGCTAATATACACAGCAATGTAGCACCTGCTACGATGGATTCACAAACTTAAATTTTCTGTCATTAAGCGACCACCGACATATTTTATATATCTAAGCGGTCGAGCACTTATCATGTAGGAAGTATTAAGGTGAAAGACGTATTTAATAAATTCAGGTAGGACAAATATGTTTTTCACAGTACACCTGTTAAAATAACATATAATGAGCTAAAATATGCTAGGATGAGTTTAAAGAAATAAAAAGGTATAAATTGGGAACATATAATGTATGTTAAATGTCGATTTCCGACAGGGAATTTGACCCGTAACCATGTTTGTGCAATGTAATTTGTGTATATTTATATGTAATGTCATTAGTACGGAGGTTGCAATTGATAGCCCTAACTTACACCAACCATTAGTTTCTCTTTCACTGTCGTTTGTTACGTGACTCCGCTGTTTTACTTGAACAAGTAATTCGTAGTATGTTTAATATATATATATACAAATCAAAGGGTGCAAAGGTACCCTTTAGATTATAAAGACATCAGTGAGATTTATACAAAATATAAACATAAAAGTGTGATCTATTCGAATATTCAGACGACATAAATTTGCAAGATAAAGCATTTTAAACCAGTGCAAAGCAGATGCTAAAGGTGATATTTACAGTAATAATAATCTGTCATAGAATTGTTCTATGTGAAAGAACAGTTATACTCTACATAGAACAGTTTTCACTTATAACTATTCTATAGGTAAACAAAATGTCAGAATATGTTATAGTGCGGAACTGTCTCAAAACTGCTTTTGAGTAGAACTGCCAGGATCTGTCTACGGTAGAACTGTTCAAATCTGCATGTTCTAGACTAGAACTGTCAAAATCAAGAACATATAGTTCTAAATGACGTATATAAGAGCCACTCTTTGATCATTATTTAGAACAGAATAGGAGTCCGGGGTTGTTTTCCCCTGTGAGACATATTCTAGATTGAAGGATTAATCAGTGGAACAACAAAAATGTACAAAATGAACGTACAATGTAAAGCAGGCAAACACTTCACGAAACCCAGTATAAAAGATAACAATAACATGAGTACATCAATGATACAAATGTCGTATCAAAGTATTGTTTGGGGTGACAAAGGCACTAGTAATAATTAAATGAGAATTTCACAAAGGGGTTTATATTTTCATCAAGCATAGATTATGGTGTATCTTTAATTTCAGCGTCTACTAAATAAGCAATAATGTGAATGCCAGTTACGTGTTATATCTTTCGGTTTTCTTAATTTTCTTCTTTAAGTTATACGCAAATGTTTTAAATAAACAACATTTTGTATGAAATTTAACGCTTGCCTTTATTCAAGGTTATGACCTTATACTGTTCCATTTCAATTAATTCCATGTGGAACCAAAATCCCCTTATGGTATACAATAGAAATGTCAGTCCGAAGAATTAGTCTTACAGATAAAAAATATTGTTTGATATCTAATGTACAATGAAATTCTATCAAAATTTACATTTGAATAAGTGCTATAAGAATGAACTACACAAAACCTTCCTAATGGTGTAACATATTTAATGAAAAACAACTAACTAAAATCTCATTACTCATATAAATCAGAAAACTTAATAAATATTAATTTAAGAATAAATAAATAATGTTTCTGCTGTTCATTTAATCTATTTAAAACTTGTTCTAACGATAAGCGAGTCGTCGTCTGTAACATATATTATAACTGAGAAAAAAATGAGTCATTTTTAAAATTGGATTGCAAACTTATTTATTTGTTTGTTTCTTTTTTAAGTTTCTTTAAATTTTACTAATCTTGAGTATAGTTCCATGGCACATTTAAAATACATGTTTATACTTCCCATAAACATTAAATAAACTTTGCCGAAGTAAAAGTAGGTCGATTGCTATATTGGAATGAAAATGATACTTCCAGGAAAAGGTTGAAAATATTCTGTTTCATGTTTATATCCCTTATAATCAAAAACAAAAACAAAAATAACACATTAAAGTGTAATCCGAGCATTGAATTTATTCACCTTTTAGGTTACCAATTCAATTTAAATCAAATCTGTATTGCCATTACACCATACATTTGTAGCATGTGACACAACATAACAAAATAAAAACAAACAATATCAACATAATGAAAGTAAATATTTTAAAAGAGTCCCCTGTCCTCAGTTCTAATTAAAAAGGACCCAGGCTTATTTACCTGAATGTATGATCTTAGGTCACCAATGCCTTAAGTTTAACAATCTATCAAAAGTTGCCAACTAAACGAATATTAGGGATAATTGTCTAAATCTTGTCGGTATTAAGACTTTTATGATACTATTTATCATAATTAACACCTGATCTAGATCAGCCTCGTTAAAGCTGTTTAACTGACAGGTTGACATCAGGTCGACAAGATTTTTGATGATCAAAAGTTGTTTCTCATAATATATACTTTACTTTGACCCAAGGAAGAGAAATCAAAACACTCAATATGTATAATAAAACTTAGTTCTCCTCTGATCTTTGTTTTATGTAAGCAATGTTTCCTTCTGTTTTGAATACGTTGTACGATGAACAGCTAAGAAAAGATTGGGCGATGATAAACTAATAAAATTAAGTACTGATTAATAATACGATATTTCCCATTTAGAATATTTAGTGTCGACCGAATTCATTTTTTAACAAACCGAGCAAACTTTGGACCGTGTAGTATTTTTTTCTTTATACTTTATTTCTTTCAAAGCACTTAATGCTTTAGTAAAGCCTGTGTAATAAATGAAAGACGATGCTGGTTAAACGTCAATGAGACAGTAACCCCACTCCCCCCCCAAAAAAAACAAGAACCAAGCAAATTCTCGCTAACAAACATACAGTCTTCAGTTGCAATCCAATATATGAAGCATTAAATCGTTCTCAGGTCTATATTATGATTGTTTTGGATGATTCTGGTCTAAGACAGACACACAGAACCGACACATCACATATAGCAGTAAAGGCTACCGTATATATTCTAAATATTGCTTTAAAACTTGGTTCAACCCATTGCTTTATTCCAAAGAGCATTTACAGAGTCAGGACCATGACAGTTAATTGTCGAATGTTTCGTTTGAAGATATTTCCCCCCTCACCAAAACAAGCAATACGGACATGATTTGTTTTAGAATATTATATAGCTTTAAATTTAGCACATTTGTTACCTTTTCATAATGCAACACTCGGAGCTTAATTTAACCTCATTGTCCCATTACTTCTTCGCTGTAGCTTGATTAAGCATGTTTACACCTATGATTAATCCTCCAAAATAGTTAAAACATGTTAACATGTAGATATCCCCTCTCAAATTTCATTTAGATATCAAATGACCATTGTTTCGTGTCGATGCTTTAACCTTGTATTGTCAAGGGGTACAACTCTAGATTAATAACACTTTGGAGACAAAGCAGCATCCATTTAAAATCTCTGTAAGCACCCATGTGAATTAAACACGTTCTTTTATCTACAAGATACCTATCATCGAGGAACAACAAACATTAAATGGCTTTACAATTAAAAGTTTATTGTTAACATTAATTTGTTTGATGTTGATAACCAAGCGTTCGTATAGAAGACAATTAAAATTAAATAATTAATTGAGGACGATTCGTTATCAGTCTAAACGACATTGACAACCTGAATTTTCACACAATTGAAATTTAAATGGTTGTACATCAATAAATCGCTTTAAACAGACATATCGTCAGATCTCGTGATTACGAGATTTACAAGATAACGCTGATGTATAAGAAGTTGTCCTTGGTTTTAGTTTGTGGTTATGATAAATCAATGCAATTTTAATTAGAAATGGATAATGTTGTTATATCTATGTCATAAATTATTAGTAGAAATTAATATAATTAATTACATATTAAATATTCTCAATTGTACAAACAATAATAGTTAACGGATTTCTCATGAAGCCATAGTTTGTTTTATGTGTTTTTAATTCAAATAAAGTTATTTTCATCAAATCAATTTACAAGTTTTGATATGCTCCTCTGATAACAGTAGATATTCTTAGTATTCATATATATATGTACCAAACAAATGTTTGAAAAGAAGAGCGTATAAATAGATTGAAGACGCATACGGTCTATTTAGAATGGGATCCTGACACACTGCTCGACAGTAGACTGACGCGAAGAGAAGGTTTAACCAGGATGCCAGGCTAACAGTATATTGCGTTACTTTCGGATGCAATTCACACTGTAAGAATGATTTAAAAGAAAAACATTTTAAAATCCTTATTTTATACAAGCAATTATAGCATAATATGTAAATATAAACAACGATAAGAATACACTAGACACTCAAAGACTGCATGTAACAAAATGATTGTGTATGTGTGAACACATTGCTATCGTACTTTGTTTTTTTTTTCGTTTTTTTCACATCTTTTCCTCGGAGGGTCGGTTGGTGTATTGTCTGTCTTAAATTTTTGGAAACTTTGTTGTCATTTTTATGTATTAAAATGACTTATTTTTACAGCAGGGATATAGACATCTAATTGAAAAAATTGGTCTAAACTACTACTATAATTTATTACTTGGATACCCTTTTCACAAAGCAAACAAATTTTTTTTTGGCTAATAGACTTAGTAGTCAAGGTTATAGGTAATCTGTTCTTGTATTTTATATTTTAGCATCAATCCATAATATAAAAAACAAGATGTGGCATGATTGCCAAGAAGACAACCATCTATCTGAGCAAAAAGGTCGGTGATGTAAACTACTGTATGTAATAATACGGCCTTCAACCATGAGCAAAGCCTATACCGTATAGCAAGCAAAAATGACACATTTTTAAACAAATGTAATGAGAAAACCAACAACCTGATTTATGCTGAAAATAATAAACGAAAAAGAAATATAGCAGTCAACCACCAACGACAATAACTGAATGCATATATTTTAAAAAGGGTTAAAGCACAACACATCAATGTTTTTGTTTGTTAAGTATTGTTTTTTTTTTTAATTCAAACCACCCTTCCCATTCCTTTCTCGATCATGTGTTGTTAATATAGTGAAAGCCATTCCCTACAGTACAACTATCAACAACAATAAAACAGCAACATAGACTTTTTTCCGGTACGCAAACTCTTTGATCTATTCATGAATATTACTCACTTTCTGTGAGAACTCATATAACGTTGATTGCTGTCTGCCATATACAGATGTATATTCGTTTTTCGTTGATTGTTTTAAGCATAAATCAAGCCATAGGGTTGAATTAACCCGAATAATTCAGTCCCTCCCCGTGATCGACTCTCCCACTCGCGAGGGCCTGAACTCTTTATACGATAAAAACGCGTCACAAATCCAGGATTTTGATTGGTGCTCTCTGCGAGAGAGAGCCAATCAGCTAATAGCTAAATGTTATCGAGTTAGGTAAATCCCGAGCTATTTCCGAATGATTTTTTGACGATTTTTCATTGACTAGGCCTTCAGGCGTTAATGTAGCCATCGCAGAGCAGTGGAATATAACGACTGAATTATTCGGGTTAGAGTTGAATTGTTTCACATCTGTTTGCATGCCGGGGCCTTTTATATCCTACTAGACTTTTTTGCTTATTAATAAAGGCCGTTCGACGGCCTACATGCATATATATAAGGAGTTGCCCTTTTGGTATCTGACGGGTAATTGTTCTTATTTTCTTTTCAGATTTTCTTTTCCAGATATCCAAGACATTTTAAATATTGATCAGCACAAAAATTAGGCTCCTACATGTACAGGTTGTATACATGTATTTGATAGTACTTCTTTATTAAGTAAATAATAGTCATGACTAAAAGTAAGATTCTGGCGATCACGTGGTGTATTCGTCATTGCATCAGCAGGTATTAACAAGCATACGTATAAATTGAGAAAATGATATGTGAGAACGAGAAAATGGCATCTTAAGATCTACATACAGTTTTTAACCATCGAAAAGTTAAATGCAATATGGAAAGCTCTAAATTGCTCTGGTCTAAAAAGTTGTTAATAAATTTAATAGAAACATCGAAGATCTGCAATGATCAACTTGTCCAAAGAACCTTTTGAGCTAACTTCCTGCCTTTGTACAATTGCAAATGTGAACAGTTTTGCGGAACTCAACCCCCTTCCGTTAAATAGGTTAATATGAAAGTTAATCAAATATTTAGACATTTACATATATTTATAGACACCTGTAAATTGTTAAAAATTGTATGTTGAACTATATAGATAAAACAAGAAGATGTGGTATGAGTGCCAATGAGACAACTCTCCATCCAAGTCAAAATTATAAAAGTAAACCATTATAGGTCAAAGTACGGTCTTCAACACGGAGCCTTGGCTCACAGCGAACAGCAAGCTACAAAGGACTAATGTAAAACCATTCAAACCGGAAAACCAACAGTCTAATCTATATGAAAAACGAGAAACGAGAAACACTTATGAACCACATCAACAAACGACAACTACTGAACATCAGATTCCTATAGACTGCTTTTGGTTATTTTCATCTTTGGGTTGCTGGCTCCTATAAGTATATCCCATCTCTTCTCTTTTTATGAGAAATAGCCTGTACATTATAGTAGTTGGCAGTATAGATGTTACAGATCGTTTATTTTTAACCCATATTCATGTACATGTATATAACAGAACAAGCACAGGAATTTGCACATCAGTTAATCAGTATGTTCAGGGTTGAAAGGTTATTATGAGAGCTAATCAAGTAAAACTTAGTACCAAATATTCATTAGTAGAACACAGATGTACAATTCAAAAATAGTGAGGATACCTTATTAATGTATAGGACATTTGGTTGAAGAGAATGCCAAAAATTTGAATTTACTAAGTAATAAAAAGCAGCTGTAAGCAATCTAACAAAAAATATTTCATTGACTTTAAAAATGGCCATTTTGACAATGACTTTATGGATAATACTTAAAGGACCACTAACAAAAATGATTTTATACGGTATGAAAACTAGACATCATGCTGCTTATAAAATAGTCATATTTTGTAGGATTTAACATAGAAATGGGAGAAATAAGCACTTAAACATCACGGCGTATTTCTATACTACAGTTATAAGGTAATGACAGTGCAACTACTAAATTTCACAGAGTCATATTTACAATATATTGCTGTAATAAATTGTCTGTATCGTTAGACAAATGGACATGGTATTTGTGTATATTACATATTAAATCTTTAAGTATAGACCACAGTGAGAATTGATGATGATTTTATTCGTACATTTATTGCTATGTTTTGTGAGTAAATAGATGATTTCGATACAGCTTTACATATTTTGATACATAGCTAAAACACCAAGAATTCAAAAGCTAACAACAGTAAGCATGTATTTAAACGTTGATGAGTTATCGCAGCAGGAATGAAGCATTCTTTGGAACGATTTTGTATTAAAATCACCAGCAATTATATTTTAATTGATCAAAACACTCCACGTCATACATACAAAAATATCATAAGAATCAGCCACCTTGTGTTGGCAAAAACATTCGCGATGATAACAGTCTTTGATATGACAAGATTATTTGAAAACTTAATCGCGTAAATTATTCAGATCGCTACGGCTAAGCTTTTGATGACAAACTTTAAAACACAAGAGTAATCTTAAGACATATGTAAACACAAAGAGATAAGACCGTGATAAAATCTGCAACAACACTTCATAACAATAGTCTGTATACTGCCATTTTTGGCTATACAAAAGTACACTACAGAAGTACAATAGCACGGTATAGATGAATGTCATCCGAACATGAACGCCTTTGTTCAAACCAGTAACATTGGAAAATAAGCCAAAGCGATAAGATCACTATTGTAAGGGTCTGTTACAACTTCAATTAATTCAATATGCAGAAAACATATTCTTTTGCAGATGAACTAGATGCTAATTGTGTGGTCCATATGCTTTGATAACACGAAGTCCTGTCAGATACCCCGTCAAAGTCACATTTGAATTAAAGTTCGACCCATGTCAAAAAGGTAGATTTGATAGTTTGGGAGATAATCGTCTTTCAAAACAAAAGGTGGATACGTATCTCCTTAACTGGTTGTTATTTTGACATCATTAAACTATTTTGTTAATTTTAATGGGATACATCAAACGTTACAAATGTTTTATTAGATTAGTTTACTGATCACGTGGTATGGTTATGTCTTATATTTCACAGAACAAATTAAACAATAAATAACAGGTGTAATTTAAGGATAAAACTTTACTCCTTAGTACAATATCAATGCGATTTAAAATAAATGACTGTAGCTGCAATTTAAAAAAACTAGTGGTTTATTTTCACTTTAATTTATTCATTGTAATTAGCAAATTTATTATAATTAAATTGTAACATATATACATTGGTAATTTGCATTAAGTTAAAAATAAAGATAATGACATTAATGATCACAACGGCGTTAATTTCGGAGGAAAATGTATGGCTATCCTATTCCTGTTTTGATCTAAAATAGGACTGTTTTGTTTTTCTCGGATCGAAAGCATCCCTTGGATGACATTACAAATGCAATGGAAGAGAGCAGAACATCGCCTATGTCATCACATTGAAATAATGTTCTGTCATTTATGCTAAGCGAATGTTTAATAAAAAATCAAATATCCCTAAAAGACAGGAAAATCTACGACACAAATCGTCTCCATCGGGAATTATTGCCGTCCAAAACTATAAATCACACAATGATCCTGCGATTATCCATCCAACATTCAGTGTTTTATATTATTAGTTTCCACTGGACAATCGATGAAGAAAATTATCATGAACTTTTTCAAAGAGCAAGAGATATCTTATACTAGACCATACCCGCGACATCGCGGGTCCATGACTGAATTAAAGAACCTACGACTTATTTTTAGCCTGGATTTTTAGAATTCGTATTGTCATTTGGTAAAGTCACGCTGATTATAAGGTGCACAGTTATTTCCTGTATAATACGAAGTTCAGGTGTGATTATTACCCGTGTTTATAGCAAATCCTGAATACACCGTTTGGTTATGCGCCTGACAGAGGCGGAACGTACAGATAAGGTAACAAGGATCAGGTAATTTTGTGACATATACTATTGGAATCGGTATCGGATTCGACCCAGAACATGTTAATTATTGGTAATATAAATTATGTGGAAAACAAAAGGGCCTAGAATAGTGTAATTTTTAATCTACACCATTGTCCTATATTATTTATATATAAAGTTAAATTCTGCGGGGCAGTACGTTGACCGAGCATGCGCAAAAGCGTATAAGACGCGGATCGATAACGGTCTCCGAATTTGGATATTTTCTCAAAAATTGGCGTTTTCTGTGGAAAAAAGATTGTTTCAAAGACAAATTTAGGAAGTACAAAACACTACATTTATACGTCATATCACAAATATTTCCGACTTTGTATGGTTTCAGAGGAGTTACGGCTCAATGAAATCGGTCTCTTCCTTTAGTAGTCACGGTAGATATACTTCAACAGGACAAGAGTTCTCTATGCATTTTACGGTAATAAGTGGTAAGCTTATTACGTTATCGTGCACGTGAGATAAAACGACTTTATTTTTCATTAAAATCCTGACTTTAAGGTTCAAAAACAGAGCCCTTATTGTTAGGTTTTACCTATATACTATTCTTCAGATAAACAATCCGTGTAATCCACTAAACACATATCAGGCAAACTGTTTAATTCACAAAATTCGACTTTATGCCTCGTTCACACGTACATTTAATTCGAATTGAATTCGAATCGAATGCGAATCGAATTCGCTAATCGCGTTCACACACTCTTCTTTTTTAATTCGAATTGATTCGAATTGGCTAAATCGCATTATCCAATTCGCATTAGAAATGCGTTTTTGTTTATACGAATTAAAAGTTAACGTCGTTAGGACAGTAAAGCAAATTTGACGCGCATTGCAATTCGAATTAGAATTTACGTTTGGACGTTAAACGTTTCGAATGCGAATTAAACTAATTCGAATTAGTTAATGCGAATCGAATTCGAATTACGTGTGAACGCAGCATAAATTAACCCTTTCTCACCGATCTCAATTGAACTATGTTTGTTTTCTGCAATGTCAATCAACAAAATCCCCACTCTAATAGGTTTTGACATCAAAGACAAAACTTTGTCAATTTGTGATTCTTCCTTGAATACCTGGTAAGGTTTTCTAATATGAAAATACGGAGAAGTCCATTTCATGTAAATGCTGACGGTTGTATCTCCCAGTTGATACAATATTAAAGAGCTTGCGTTACTGTCATAATTTTCTTGATGGGTTACTGCTTACAAGGAAGCTATTGGACTAAGGTTTCCGAGTGGTTAAGTTGAAGTCATTCATTCGAGAGTTTTACGGACGACATCACGAGTTGATTGGTCGTTATGGAATATCTCTGTCACAGATGGTCACGTATATGTTCCAGCTAATTGTTGTCGCAACCACAATCTCGCCCTCTTTTTCGAATGATACTCATCACTGAACTACTACTATTAGTAACACGATGGGTGCCACAAGTGGAACATGATCTTCGTATGCCGCAGTTCCGGAGCATCTGAGATCACCCCCAGTTTTTCGTGGGGTTTTGGGTTGCTCAGTCTTTTTTTTCTATGTATTGTTTTGTGTACTTGTTTTTTCTATCTTCGTCTTTATAATTGTTTGGCTGGCGCTGTCAGTTTCTGTCGCGTATGAGTTTTGAATGTCCCCGTGGTGCTTTCCGCCTCTTTTTGTAAAAAGGTAAACGAATCTAAGATAAATATCTTAGTGAGCTGTTTTTTTTTTTTTTTTTTAGATATTACTATATTATCATCTAGAAGAAGAAGAAAGGCATTTTAATTGCCCATAATTTTTTTCAGTCCCCTTGTTAAGAAAAATACAATTGAGGAGCAAAACATGTTGATATTAACATATTGTATCTAAAATGGCCATAATACACATAGCTTTGATGTCAAAAGTAGATCTCAACAGAAGTCTTACACGAAAAGATATTTTACCCACATTTGCATCTTTGTATAATATGTATTATAAGATATATAAATTGACATCTTGTAGCAAATATATTTTTTGGAAATTGAGACCTTGGATAATTTCTAAATTTTAATGACAAGATCTCAAAACTAGGCTATCTTATGATATATAATATATTCAATTGAGGAAAATATAAATATCAATATCTTACAAACTAATTAGTTGTGACCATCTGACGTATGTTATTTTACAGTAGATTGATATTGATTCTACATTTTTAAATTCAAGGGGCCAAACAAATGACCTTATTGTATCTTCCCGTTTTATATTTAGGTTGTTCGCGTAATGTAAAGAACAATTGAAACAACATTTTTCAAACCACAAATGTTTGCATAGGTTACTGCACTGTCTTCTGCAATGTGGACTATGATACAAGTAATAAACTTTCATTTATATGAAGCACATGTTATCATCAAGCCACATAAACCAATAACAATTATAAAGAAAGAGGTAGTATCAATTGTTCCTGTATTTGTTTTATTCACATGTCTAAATCAGAATTTTGTTAAACCAATACTCGACTATTAAAGAGACAATAAAACACACATATATATATATATATATATATATAAACAAGTCTAAATTGAAAACAACGTTCAAACCTATGATTGCGTTGGATAAAAACCGCAATTTTTATACGTGTGCATGCAAAACAAATTTCTTGGTAGAGGGGTCGAAATACAGCACAAACAACATTTTCCAAAAGACCCAAAAAGTGAAAAAGTATATTTTAACAATATATATATATATATATATATATATATATATATATATATATATATAAGTACGTCTAAACAAGTGACAACTCTACGACAGATACATCTATTGGATGACTAATGAAGGTAATACACGGCTGAAAACGCATATTATATTAATAATTACTCTAAATATCGGCACAACAATGTTAAATCTGCAAATTTGCAGAAGCAAATTTTGTTCTTCCCTTGCCGGGATTCGAATTTCAATATTTTAATATAATACATAAAATCAAAATGTTTTTCTTCACTATGCATATTGCTGTTGAAGACAATATTGAGTGGTATTGTTTTTATTAACAATGTTCGGTTTCCATTGTCAGTTGCACTTTCTGGTATTACATTTGTATCATTAAAATGTGAATGTCAGTATATTATATTACATTACAGGTGTAATTTCCAATTGAATGTGATTTGTTCAGAATATGATATACCTGTAACGGAACACCTGAGATGAGTTTAAACAGTGATTGTCATTTATAATGCGTATAATTTTACATCTAAGAAGTTCAGATACAATAAGCGGTTTTGTTTTACATTTAACTGTATCATAAATGGTTTAACCCGATGGTTTGCAAAAAAACAAACTGGGATAAACAAAACAGCTGGGTTAATTGTATTCTAAAGATGATTTATATTATTTATTTGGCATCCTGTAAAATTTAACAACTTAAAATTACCAGATTTCTATTAACCTTATTTGATGATTGATAACAACTGGTATGGCCGGACATTTTTTTTCGTTAACGTGCATGTTTATACTTTCTCATTACATTTTCGATTTACTAATAACACATTTTTATTCATCCATCTTCTTGTCCTTTAGTTTTCATTGTAGAATTATTTTTACACTGCGTTAATATCCAAGTTAAAATATTAATAATATTAATAATAATACTATTGAATTATATAATAATGATACTAATAACAATAATATTAATATTAATAATAATAATAAAATTATCTTTTACTTTTTTATTATTATTATCATTATTATTTGTAGTAGTAGTATTATTATTATTATTATTATTATTATTATTATTATTATTATTATTATTATTATTATAGGAATCAGCGCAATTTATGTCTATGGTATTTTGTTATATTCTTATTATTGGGACAACAAGCTGTAAGGCTCCATCACAGAAATGTTTAACAACACGAGAAACGTATTTGATAACCGAATAAACAAATTGAAACATAAAACCGGTATTAAGCCATCATCTCAGTCAACAAAATTGTTTAAATTGTGTGTTGTACTAAAGCCAAGATTTGATAAACGCTTCTTACTAACAAAAATTCGAAGTAAGTTATATGAAACTCCAAATATGCTTATTGTGTAAGTGTTATTCAAACTGCATGGACAAGTAAATATGTTCCAACAATATGGAGTATTTGGCGTATACTACAGATAAAACAAGAAGAAGATGTGGTATGATTGCAAATGAGACAACTTACCACCAGAGGATGTAAACTACAAGGTCACCATC